TTTTTCGTACCTGACGGTAAGGAGTTGAAATGGTGTCGACACTCCATCCCCACCTTGAAGAAAGCACAAAACAAACCGAAGGCTAAAAATACACCAAATCAGAAAAAATCAGGTAAGTCTGATAAGAATTTGGAAAGTAATCAGCCTAAGAAGAAGGATAAACCTACATCCTTGAAGAAAGTCCCGATAAATAATAACCAGGAGGAGAAACACCCGAAGAATCAGAAGAAGGCAAAGAATACCTCGAAGAAAAAGGGTGGTAATAAAGATAACAAGGCGGTTTTAGCAGAGATTTTAACTTTATTGCAGAAACTAGTTTAGCCTATGCTTTGATTAGCGGTTTTACGAATTTCAGAATTGTATTATTTTTTAGGATAGAATAAATTTATGTTTAGTACCACAACTTCTTGGAAAGGGGACTTGTCCTTTTTACTTTTTTTCCCCTCCTTATTTTTACCCAGTGTGTTTGCCTGGCCTTTTACCGGACGTGGTAGTGGTTTAGGTCTTTTTTTTCGAGAAGCTCGGGTTGGCTTCCAGCTCCTCTGGAAATTGATGGTAGGATTCAGTTGGGCTGTATTATATAGGTTTTGTTACTTATTAATCTTGCTCATGTTTATAATTCCCGCCGGCTTTACATAAAATAAAATAAATGTGATGCACATAAACAAATTTAAGGTTACACCTGATCCTTGGATTTTATTGGCCATACACACGTGCAGACAGACAACAACATGAAGTGTCCTACGCTTACGCTTCAGACAATAAAAAAGAGAACGCATAAAATGAGAAAAAGAATCTGCTAACAAAAATAGATTAGTAAAATGACATTGTTATTAGTGAGCAAATAAATTAATTAAACCCAAAGTTTGTGTTAAATGCAAAATCGCAAATGAGACAACTTAGCCTTATATTTAACCAAGTTACGGACAGAAGAGGTAACTGTAGAGCATTCAACCTCTGACAGATGGGTGACTTGCATGTGTAGGTAAACAACTTGTTAAAGGGTCAACTTCGCAAGATGGAGAGTAGCAGCAAATAAATTGCATTCTTGTTTGATTTGTTTTTGAATGAAATCCTGAGAACTATTAATGTTAAACTATACTCCTAGAAAATGGAAAGATGAAGAAGTTTGTAAGGTGAAAGTGACAGGAGACAAATCTTGAACGGAAGAAATAGCATTAGTAGCTAAAACATATTTATTATTATTGGCAAAAGTATTGTTGAAGCAATAAAATTCTTCTGTAATTGATAACATATGTTTCATCCCAGCTTTCGAAGAGGAAATTAAAGTGGAATCGTCCATAAAGACCAAATTATTAATTTGCAAACTATTTGTCAGAGATGGAGAGGAAGATAAAGAAGCAGGAGCCAAAGGAGAAGTCAAACAATAAGGATCTTGCATGTTGTTTTTGAGAGCCATAAGTGAAGGATCAATATAAATGACCCATAAAAGTGGAGAAATAACCTCGCCTTGATCTATGCTAATGCAGACCCTATAAGGAGGGTGGAGCCATGTGCAGTGATAACTCAATTGGAATGAACCATAAATAATGCTAGAAGAAATTGTATAGCATTATTCGGGAGACGCAGATGTTAAAGAGCGAATCGTAAGTCTACAGAATCGAAGGCCTTAGAAATATTTTGGGAAAGAACCCATAATGGTTGTTTAGTGATCACAGAGTCATGAATAATGGATTCAAGCATAATAATGGGATCGCAACAAGCATCACCAGGAAGTCCAGCAAAATTTCCTTCTTGAAGAATATTGTTTGAGGCTAAAAGAGTAGCCAAGCGATTATAAAATAATTTGACTAAGGTCTTATCATGGATGACTTCTAACAAAGTGATAGGATGTGTATTTTTGAGTTGACACTTCCATTCAAAATAGAAAAACTAAAGCTTGTCACCATAAATCAGGAATATTCGCATCGAAAAGGCAAGCGCTTACAAGGCTCAGAATAAGGGAAGAAGCACGAGGATGACCATTCATCAAGAGTGGGAGGATCCATAAGGGTATTATAAATATCAGAAGGATAACATTTATTTATTTATTTATTTATTTTATGTGAAGCAGGGAGAGAGATATACAAAGGCATGACATATAGTACAACCTAAACGAAATCTACCATCGACAACCAGAGAAGCTGGAAACTGACCTGAACTTCTTGAAAAAAAAGACCTGCACTACTACCACGTCCGATAATAATCCAGGCGAACACACTGGGTAAAAAAGAAAAAAAAAGTGGAGAAGACAAGTCTTCTTTCCAAGAAATTGTGGTACAACACATAAACATATTCTATCCTAAAAATAATACAATTCTGAAATTCGTAAAACTGCTAATTAAAGCGTAGGCTAAACTAGTTTCTGTAATAAAGTCAAAATTTCTGCTAAAACCGCCTTGTTATCTTTATTATTACCTTCTTCTTTGAGGATTTCTTTGCCTTCTTCTGAGTATTCGGGTATTTCTCCTCCCGGCCTGGTTATTATTTTTAGAGACTTTTTTTAAGGATGCAAGTTTATCCTTCTTCTTAGGCTGATTACGATCCAAATTTTTGTCAGACTTACCTGACTTTTTCGTATTCGGTGTATTTTTAGCCTTTGGTTTACATTGTGCTTTCTTCAAGGTAGAAATGGAGTGTTGACACCATTTCAACTCCTTACTACCATTAGGTACGAAAAACTGTGGCGTATCTAAGGCCCTTAGTGTGGTCTCCCAATTCTTGAAATAGGCCACAAGTTTTCTCCTTTCTTTACTTGTTTGAATTACTTTAAATGAGCTAACACCGCACTTCATTAAAAATTCACATGGTTTATAATCCATCCACAAGATAGCCATTATCATATCCTCCGGAATGTCATGAATAACGGCTTAGAACTTTTCACGTTGTTTTCTTTCTCATAAAGTCCAACTTGCAGGGAACCATCTAATGGGTATATCTCCCAGGTCAAAGAGTCTGATACTTGTGCTGGCGTTTAGGCTGTTGCAACCTAATTGTTTGTTTAACGTCCAGGCCTTTTGAAAAAATTAAGGGGGGAGGGGGGCTTAAGTTAAACAAACTAAATAAATAAACATAGGAAAATTTGAAAATTTCAGAAGGGATTATTTATCATTATATGTTTATTAGCTTTTAAATTTTTTCAAAAATAGAGGGGGTATTTAATAATAAGTGTTTATTAGATCTCAAATTTTTAAAAAAATAGAGGGGGGTGGTGGACGTTAAACAAATAATCAAGTTGGAATGGCCTTAACTGAACACTTTATAGTATTTCCCCATAGTTTTAACTCTGCTATAATTTTCTGCAGGTCCCAGGTATACGGATATCATAAACTATTATGTCTTGGATTTGCTCTTGCTCCTCTCTGACAGTTTCGTATTCTGTCAGTATCTGTGTAGCTTCCAGTTCGGATGATTTCTTTCCCTTATGGGAATTTTTGGCTGATGTTTTCACATCAGGTTTTGCCTTTGTTGATTGGTTCATGGTTTGTTTATCATATGTAACATGTGCCTTTTGTTTATCATTCTTCCGGGAGTTTTCAGGTATTACAGTTTGATCAACAGGGGTCATTACTAGAAGGACCCCGGATATCTCCAAAACAGGTCATAAGTCACACTTTCGGCAGATTGGCCCATTTTTCAGGGGCTCAAAAAATCGTTNGACAGAAGTAGAGATAGAAGAAGAGGTAGAAGCAGGTCCCCACATAGAAGATAAAGATATTATTAAATTTTAATTTTTATTATATTTTTAATCGTATATTTTATTAGTTTAATATTAAATATTATAAAATAAATATTTACATACAAAAAATCATATTGTCTTTATTCTTATAAATTGTTTAAATGCCAAAAATCTAATTAAATCATATAAAAAGTATTGCCGAAACGCCGAAATAGTTTCGGCAAGTTACGGCAGTTTCACGATTTTGATAGGTTTCGCAGTTTCGGCATTTCTTGATAATTTCGCAAAACTAGTTTCGGCAGTTTCGCATATGCCATTCTGCCGAAACCCTCTAGTTTTGGCAAGCAACCTTATCTGTGAGGTAGGGAATCCCCTATATCTGTCACCATCTGTCATTAACATCTGTCATATAATAATATACTAAAAAAGGATAAAATAAGGGAAAAGAGAGGAAAATATGATAGAATCAGAGGGTATGACAGATATGACGGATATGACAGATGTTTCAGAAAAATTGGGAGAGGATAATCCTAGAAAAAAGGTTTGATTTTACCCCCCAGATCTGTCATTCTGTCATAAATCTGTCATATGATTAGTTAGGATTCAGTCTAATCATCTGTCGGAAGCAGTGAGATAGCAAACTGAGTTAACAAATAGGTTAATAGCCCCTAGAAGGTCTGTAGAACCACAGGAGTGTAACCGGGTAAGAGCACGGATCTTTGGAAAAAATATATTCGGCAATTGAAGATTAGGTAACTATAAATTAGATCCCAATTCGACAGAACGAAAAAATGACATATACCGTAGAAAAGTTAGCAGGAATCTTTGGCTGCACAGTTTTCGATCTTATGGCTATCAATAGGGGGATACTTCTTGAGCAATGCAGAAAGCAAAGCCATTCAGTATCCCTAAGATTGTGGATATCTTCATTGTGGTCTGTCTGATTGATAAATTTGGCAAATATCTATCACTTAACCGCACTTGGTATACTTGGTGTAGAGATGAATTATGGAAATGGCATAAAGAAGCTGAACAAGTATATGGCAGAGTGGTAGATAAGTACAGGGAAGCTGATGATCCTGCAGAGTCATATTTTTTGTCCAGATTTTTACAAGAATTGATGACTATGTAATCATATCATCACTCATTAGGTATCCTTACATGTTTCAACAAGGATTGATGACCATGTAACTTCATCATCAGGCATTCATGAATTCTTAACATAAACTAATAAATTTTATTCCATCAAATCCGTTCTATCTATTACTTTTTCAAAATTCTGTCTAATCACTAGTTTGAACCAATAAGATAGCAAATTGAATTAATCCTTTTCATCAGATTTTCCCAAAGAAATTCTTAATTTTACTGGTTTTGGACTATGTAAAAATACAGAAAGCTTGCGAAATGAGTATTCATCTCTTAATATATTATTAGCAAAAAGCCATTGTAGTATATTATTTCCTTCTATAAATTCTTTATCATCAAGTGGACATGATCTTAACATTAATAAAAGTTGATTCGTATATAATTTAGCCATTTCTTTATCCTCTTCAGTCTGTTCTAAATCTGCTATTGTAGGATCATATGTAAATTGTGAAGTTTTAGAACTAGCAGTTGAAAGTGGAATACTACTTTACAGAAACCTTGAATTTTTAAACAATACCGAATTGATATAATAATGATGTTAAATAAATATCGTGGCGATATCGATTTGCAAATGATATCATTATGATATCGCAATGATATTATTTCAATATATCGAAATGATATCGTAAAGATATTTGTTTGAAAAAATATCAGATTGATATCATTTCGATATTGTTATAACAACAATGAATTTTTTGAAAAATGGGAAGTAAATAAGATATTAATATAATATCATTACAACATTAATTCAATATCAATATGATATCGTAAAGATATCACTTTATAATTATCTAATCGACATCATAACGATATTGACGAAACATCAAATCGATATCACTTTACTAAAAATGGCCAATTTTTTGAAATGATTTTGTAATAATTTTGAAATACTACATAAATACATTTAATACATCAAAATGGTTTTATTATATTTTTGTTATTATTTTGTAATTATATTGTATCTAGGTCTATAAAAATAACTCATAATAATATCACAATAATTTTTTAATATTTTTATTATTATTTTATTATTATAATATAATTAACTTTGATATTATTTTAATATTTTAATCTCAAAAATACCTCAAATATATCTTGATATATTTTAAAAATTTTACAAAATAATTGCACAATTGTTTTGAAAGCCATTGTAT